CATTCTCCACAATTTTGCACAACTACTACTACGGATAGATTCATGAAGCTTGAGGGAATCCAGAAAAGAGTTAGGAGGTATAACATGGATTTGTAACCAATAATAAAAGCCCTTCCAAATACTTACAGAGACACAAGAAACAAATAAGTGATCAATAATTTTCACATGATTATTACCTCTATTGAGACTTAAAATCAGTTCAAAGAATGAGTTTGACTTGAAGCTAATGCCGACAATGTTAGTTCAAATAATTGTGTTCATAGTTTTATAATAGCACTAATTAACCTAGAGTAGTTGATAATGCACAAAGTAGCCCGATTATATGGCTGGGTTCATGGTTTTAAATAATGCATATAATATCTCATCTTATATGCCCTTTTGTTAAACTATGCTCCCTTGTCTCCACCACACCAACTTGGCATTCATTGTCTTTCATGTTTGACAAATTTCCTAACACAGTGCATGCACACTCCTAAAGGCGCGGGAATGGTCATGCCCTTTGTCTCTGTCTCTTGCTAATAGGATATAATGCCTAAAAGTATTGAAGGTAGGTCATTTTTATATTTCCGTGTTTTCTACACAAAATAATAATGAGCGGAGATGTTCCATGTCACTAGTTCTCTATCTCTCTATATCAAGTCAATGAAATCATGTCAACTAATAAAATTATGCTAATAATTTTTTTTATTATCTATCAAGAAATAATAGTTGATATGATTTATTGGTTTGATATAAAGAGATAAAAAAATTATGGTATATAAGATATCTACTCATTCCTTTTGAACCAAAAGTATTGAAGGTCTGTCATTTTAGTATTTCTGTCTTACACCTTTTATATATCACTTCTTTCCTTCTATATATCAAAACCCAATGACTAAAATTTGTGATACTTTCATGTATGTGTGAATGTTTTAGGGATTTAATATTGAATTAAGTTTTTACATGTAGTCGGAAAAAATGAGGCTCTTTAATTTATTATTTTTCAAATAAAAAGAGGATGGTTGTCATGCAGATATATCCAACTAACATCCAAACAACCACATTGAGATAAAATGGTGGTGTTAAACATGTTTGGTTAGATGTCTTTCATTCTCTCCTTTCTTATATGCATTAAGGTCTCTCTCTGGAACTTATATTATTTTGAGCAAGACTCCAACTTACACACTACTTGTCCAATCTGAGGGGTAGAGTAGAGATATAAGTGACTCATGAAACATTGCCTTTATTTGAAAGTTATTAATAACATGCCAAATTTCACATACCTAAATGTGAAATGTGCAATGGATCAAGGAAGTACTCAACCATCCCCTAGACTAGGTGATGCTTGCTTTAAAAGCTATTACCTTGTGTGACATCCATTGCCTCACCCTTTTGAGAACAAAGACCCCTTCTTTGTGTTTTCTATCTTTGTTGATACAAGAGATGCCCTTTCCAAAAACAATTGATGAATATCCATATTCAATAGATGATAAATTGTGTTGATCTCGTGAGATAGCAAGTTTATCGAGCGTTTATCAATGCTATAATTTTTTAAAATATCATTGTATCATTGAGATTTAGGTAAGAGTTATACACATAATGCCAAAGAAACATTTACTTTGAACTAATTAGTACTGCCTTAATCACAACCAGCAATTAATACGAGCCACCATAAAATAAATGGTTGTTGCAAAAAGCCAAAAAGTACCATCCAAACTTATATATATCTAGTTTTGGACAAGTGAATTGGACATGCAATTAGCATTTGGACTGTAGTCAATAATGGTGTGCTTCCAATTAATGCCCAGGGGCATAAAATCACGTTGAGCTCAATTATCTTTTATAAACAAATATCATTAACTCAATGTACATCATTATAGAAGTGAAAGACCAAGTTTTAAGGGCCTAGTGCCCAATTTGGCTGCAACCATGTAGCTGCCACCAGCTACAACCAATTTGGACCTCCATCATCACCAAATGAATTTCTTAAGAAAGATTCACCATTGTTCAGCTTTGGGCCTTAGCCAACAACTACCAAGGATATTCTTTTCATGATTAGTTTTCTAAATCGATTTACTGATTTTACTTTATGTGAAAGTGGAACACTTACACAAGACATGCGAATGACATTATTATATTTATACACAACTCATTTATAACCACTCTCTGTGGCCAAATAACAGATTAAAGGTAAAACCTGAAAAACGAAGATTAGATCACGTATTCAACCAAAATCTTAAGACAATCGTTTTATATGCATTTTTCATTTATAAAATCTTTCATTATTCTATTCATATCTAATGTGAGACTTCACTCTTGAATTCGAAAAATAGAGAGAAAAGAAAGATTCAAAGCTAGTAATTGGAGCATCGTAACTATAGTATGTTATTTGCTTAGAGTTCTACATTAGAGTAGGTCCTCTCAATACCTTTAGAGCTAGAATGTACACGAATTACACCAGTCAACAAAAAACAACAGCAAATTTGCAATATATATAACACTTTAATTTCCACAGCACAACCTTGAACTCTATTCTTTCCCTGACCAACACATAACCCCCGAGAACTTTTCAAGTCAAGCAGAAATTCCATAATCACCAAGCCATATTAGGCCAAAGTTTGAGCAATAAGCCTCACTTGATAGAGTCTTATCCTCATAACAGGGATACATCCATGGTCTCATACTATAGGACTCTAGAATTTGATTGTATTGTTCTTATGGTAAAATCAATGTTGGTATAGAATTAAGGGCAAGGAATGTTTGATTGAAGAACCAAATGATCTTTTATATATTGTCTAGGCTACCATTGTGAAATCTTATTTTTAATTTACACTTTTCTCTTTTAGAATAGCTTGCAAGACAAATTAACACATCCAAAGGGATTCCTATCCTTGGATTGATGTTCTTTGATTGAGCATGTGATTAAGTGCTTGATAATATTACGAATGAAATATCTATAACAATGTAAAAATATTCTTATATCGTTATTGTATATATCTTTTTCTCTGATATAATCATTTTTGGGAACCTATTACAAGCAATATAGGTTTTGGATCCTGTTGAAGTTTTGGCACGAAGGTATTCCAAAGCAACAAATTGGTTGAGCTGAACATGGTGGGGCCAGACCTAGGGTTGCTGCTCACGGCATACTTAATTGGGGCCATTTTTTTATTTATGTAGATAATTTTACTTTCTCAATTCTTATTCAAAAATTATTCTCACGGAGTAGGTGAGCCACTTGCTCATACAAAATGTAAACAATAATAATAATTAAACAAGAAAAGAAAATGCGTTTTTCATTTTCATTTATTTGTGTAGTGCAAGAATCAACAATGTATAGTGAATTATTGTTTTGTAAAATTTATCGTTTTTTAATCTCCTTGTAATTATTCCATTTTAATAAAGTTTTCTTTGCTGATGATTAAAAAAATAATATTAACAATAAAGTTAAGATATTCCTTGTTGTAAAAAAATGATAGAATCATATTTTAGATATCATTAAAGCTCCATTAAGAAGTGTATATAAAGTAATTTTTAAATATGTAAGAGGCAAAGAGTATCTATAAGTAAAATGATTATGAATAGTTTATGGGTTAATCCTGATTTGTGATAGACGTCATTTCATTTATATATTCATGTAATATCAACCATGCGAGGGTATTTATCTATTTGCAAAACTAGCAAATATAAAAATTAATTGAAGCATTTGCACATTACACAATAATGTGACAAACATGTCAAAACATGTAGGACAATGGTGAGTGACTAATAAAGAACAAACAGGTCAGGATTACAAATTTATTGGTTCAAATGGGACAAAACAGTAAAAGCATGGTGGTAAGTTTAGGATATGCAGCCACAGCCAATTCTAAAGCAGTAGGCATAATATAACACAAAACCAAACATGAAGTAGGTATAAAGCATATACCCTATAAGATACTTGCTAGGTACTTCATAATGTTAATGCATGACCTAATATCACAGCCACACCATTATAAACAATTCCAAGTATAGTGAGTCTCACATGTTAAGCCAACCTCCCAACACCTTTCTTTACCAAATTCTTTTTGTGCCATTTAGTAATCATAATATGGGGCGAAACTACTACTTAAGCCCACCCTTTTTCTCCTTTTAGGTTTAAAAGTCTATTTTTTTATTAACATAAGTCAGACTTCTCTCCATTATCGGAGAGAAAAGTTATATTTTTAGTATAATTGTAATGGTACAAATATAAATTAAGGGACATAAATGACATTATAATTTGATTTTCTATACATTTTAAGAGAAATTCTCTCTCGAGTAATGAAGAAGAGTGAAAGATACTGCTTTATTAGGAAGTGTTCTATTGCCGGGTGCATGTGCCACACGCGCTTCAAATTGTATGATTTGTCTAAACTTGTATTGATGCTTGAGATTTTTACTCAAACGAAGCGCGTGTCTCTTTATGAGCTATAAAATTGAACCATACTTATTATTATACAATGATATAATATAATACCAAAGGGAGGCAAAATATTTTAAAAAAGAAAGCAAAACTAAGTAAAAGAGATACTTGCGTTCCATTTAGTGTTTTTTCTTGTTTTAGATGTATTTCAAAATTATTGTTGTTTTACACTTTTATATATAGTTTAAATATTTTGTCAAAATTCTTCAATTTTATTCTCATTCATTAAACAAACTCTGATTTTTTTATTAATTACACTTCTTCTCTCTTAGAAAATATAATATTATTTAATGGTACGTTAAGCTTAGATAATAAAAACATGGTGTTAAGGGAATAATATTTCACGATAAATCTCAATAGTTATTTTTTCAAAATAGATTAAAAATGAAAAATAGTGTTAATTAATTACATAAGAAGTTAGTCTCCCAATTCCTTTTAATTGGTTTACGTTTTTCATTTGTGTTAATTGCTTATATGACTATGCTAGCCATTACTAACTAGCCCTTTTCCGTTAATTTTTTATACATAAACTTGACAATAGGAACTAACTTCGAAAAAAAAGGTTTAGATATCAAAATCACTAAAAAAGCAAGTGGCAATCTTAGCATATCATAAAAATTTAAAAGAAGAAAAATGCATTTAGGCCTATAAAATTTTCTTGTTCCACTAGCATGAGAATATTTCTATGAAAATGATAATGAGTGGTGATAAGTGTGTGGAGCAGTGAAGGTGGTCGCCGCATATACTTAGAAGATGCGATTATAACATAAGAGCATTTTTGGTACTTTTCTCTCTCTTTATAAACCCATTGAATTGCATGATATTCCTCTCTATCTCGTTCTAGCAACTCCTTCACCATGAGTTGAACCTTTCTTCTCTTATTTGCTCTCTCTTACTTAACTATATATCAACCTCAACCATGCCAAATTGGATACTATGTAGTACCTTTGTTATTGTTAATGTTGTTGTGGACATGGTGTGGTTGAAGGACGTAGCTTAACGAGATCATCATGATTTGGACAAAATGGAACTTAATCGATTGGTAAGTGTAAGAGATCGATCCAATCGAGTTAATTAGTTCCATTTTATCCCACAGGGCAACTTCAATCCTTTGGCATAACTTATTCCTTTGGTAACTGTTCCGTACACATTGTATTCAGAGCTTGATGCATGGGTCAGTTAGATATTACCTTTCTCTTATGTTATCTTTTGTGTAATCGATATTGGCTATAACCTGAGAGATTTTTATGTAGTTTCAGTATGCAATCTTTGGGTGAGAATAAATTAAATGTATCATGTTGCGAATAAATTAAAGTTGTAAGCTATCATCTGGATTTAATATGTAATTTTATCATATACATGTTTATTATTGCTGCGTTAAATGTAATTGTGGCACCTACTGTATATGGAATCATTATGGTATCTAGAAAATTGATTCCATGCGCTATATATTATCACGAATATATGTTTGCTCCTATGTCTGTCCAGTACTAACATTTTGCTAATAGATTATACATTGCTTCTGTATATTCAATCAATTAATGAGATATTTTGAGTGAAGTGAAGGAAGTAAGAAGTAATAATATTTATTATTGTCAAAAATAAGAATAATTAATATGATTATATGATTTATTTGAATGATCAATATTATTTAACAAAATCATGTTTGTATTTATCTTTTTATAGTGATTATTCAAATAAAATTCAATGTTTCATATTACTTGTACTTATTCGCAACAACAAAAATGTTACTTGAATAACTTCTTACATCATTCCTACAAAAAAAAGAATACTACTAAAAAATAGCAACATATAAAAGAATACTACTAAAAATAGAAACATTGGGTTTCCCATTAAATTCGGGTTATATTTGGATGATTACTCGTAAGTTCGATTTTCATTGTCATCCCTATTCAAATGTATTGTTCATGTGGGTTCACCCGCTCTCAGAATGTGCACATTCCATTCCATTATTGATAATGTACATTAATTTTATAAATATGTTAATTTGTCATCGCATCACAATATCAAGGAAAACCTCAATGTCAAGTGTTTTTTTTATTTTCTTTTTGTCCAATATTTGGGTGTCATATGTTGGACCCCGTACTAATGCAAGAAGAATTGATAAAAACTATCAAGGGGAATGCTCAATGTCAAGTTTTTCCCTTCACTTTCATTTTAAATTAAAACACAATTTTAATATACCATAACTACATAACTACATTTGGTTGTCATATCTGCCAATTTTCATTTTTTAATGAAAATGGTTTAAATAAAATGTTGCAAATTATCAAACATATAATTACTACATTTTATTTTACTTCTAAACATGAGTCACACATTTTTGTTTTAATAAATAATGTAAATAAAAATATTTATCGTCCTCTTTATTAATTTTTCAAAATTAATGTTAGTATCACATATAAATATATATATAACTTTAGTGATATGCGATTTAATTAATGAAAATTAGTTGAACAATTATATCACCATACCAATATATTGGACAGCAACATGTATATATATAATAATTATAATATTATATTATAAAATATTGTAACAGTTTATTATTAAATTTGTATACTTGAATTGTATTATAATATTTTATCATGTATAATATAGTAACAAAATATAATAATAGTTTATTATTAAATATGTATACTTGAATTATATCAATATTAATTATTAATTAACAAATGAGATTTATAATTACTTTAGGTAATTTAGTTTTGTCCTATTATGTCCTTATATATAACTTTTTTAAACATAAAATTTTATATCTCTAAAATTAAATTTAGCATTATCACAAATAATATTGAGGATTGAGACTCAAGCGTCTAGCTTGAAAAGTAGTGTAATGATGGAGAATCATGCAAAGCCCTCCTTTTACTACCACCCATCTATTTACTTCATGGTAAATCTTGATCATATAAAAATCCATACCAAATATATAAAACCATTCTTGAAGTTTATGAACATTATTAAGTTTGCCCCCTTAGAACATCATAGTCAATTGTCTTTTTACAATAGCTTATTAATAAAACATCTTTCTAACAAGCACGAGTGCATCACACTCTTAGCAATCCATTTATCCAAACTCACTAATTGAAGTATTGAACCAAGTTGTTTTCATCTTCAAATTATACACTTATGAATTATTATGCAATGTATATTCCTTCTTCACTCAAAGGGAGCAAAAATTAAGTCCATCCATTAAATTTTCTAATGGCTATGATCCCTAACATATTACAAAGAAAACCATAACATCAATTTCATTATTACTCAATTGATGAAATCAAATATTTATTCAACTATAACACTCATAATATACTTTCACGTATTATTATCATATTTAGTAAATTAATGAATACAAATAATTAGAATTTACATGAAAATTTTAGATAAGTTATTTTCTGTATTTATACATTTCAAAGTAAAAAGTTTATTTATAAACCATCACACACCAATAGTAATATATGCAAAAAAAGAAAAGAAAGGGTTTTAGTAAACAAGTGAGATATGAAAAGGCACATAAAAAATAAAAAAAAGGAAAAGGAAAGTAAAACTATTTGGAGAAAGAATATTGGGAGATATGTGGAGGGAAAAATAGAACACAACACAAAACACGAGGAGCAATTGAGAATAAAAGCCGAAGGAGTAGAAGGAATGGGGGAAAAGACACCGGTTTTTGGCCATAACAAGGTTAATTTCGACATTCCACAAAACCAACACAACACGCTCTTCGCCTTCTTCAAGGTAACTTCCCCCGATTTTCCACTCCTTCCCTTTTTCAATTCTGTCCTCAATTTTCTCTCAAAAACCCTAATTTCCCAATTTTCAACGTTGACTTCGATTTGCGATTTTTGATTTGTCTCCTTGCGAATCAATAGACCTGCCAGCGCATGCACAAAAAAAGTTTATATTTTTATGATTTCTGAGTTTTGGTTTCAAAATTTCTATTCTTTGCGTTCCTGTGATTCAGTACGCGCGGGTCTATGGCTAAAGGTACGGATTTGGAGCAATCTGTGGCAATGTCTAGGGTCCGTACAGGTCTCAAGAGGGAGCTTGCATTCGCTTTGAAGGCTCAGTCTGAAATCAATGGTGGCTCTCTCGGTCGAACTCGGTCAGGCAAGAACCGGAATGTGATTCAGGTTCAAACCACTCCTGCAAGAAAGCGATCCAAGAAGGAAGAGAATGTGGTTGGTGATGCTATGAGCGAGGAGGAGGAGGCGAAAAGTGATGTGGTGGATCCCAAGATTGGAGAATTGATTGAAAAGAGGGAACTTGAGGTTGAGAGAGCAAGGCCAATGGGTGTTTGTGAAGAGGAACCAAAGCGTGATATTGTGCTAGAAACTGCCACTGATGATGAACCTAAACCTGGTGGTGATGAAATTGTGCACCCCATATTTAAAACCGAGGTGAAAGAAGAACCCAAGGTGGAAAAGAGGGAACTTGTTGTTTGTGGAGAGGAACCAAAGAGTGATGTCCTGGTAGAAACTGCGAGTAATGATGAACTGAAATCTGGTAATGAAGTGGGGCAGCCAATTTGTGAAAGTGGGATGGATAGAGTTGATACATCACCTTCTCCTCACATGGAAGAAAGTTTTAATAATGGGACAACCTTAGTTTTGGTTAATGACCGTAAGGTGAACAAGATGTCTGTAGAGAAGCCGGTAAGACGATTTACACGGTCAGCATTGAAGAAAACAGTGGTTGATGCAAAGGTTGCGAGTGATGAGGAAAATGCTAGTGTTAAAGCTGTTGATATTGGTGATGTAAAAAAGGAAGTTGAGGCGGAGAAGTTAATAGCTGCCTCAAGTGGAATGGAGTTGTCCAAGACTACGACCAGGAAGAAGTTACCATCAAACTTGAAGGACCTTCTGGCTGCAGGGATTCTCGAGGGACTAGCGGTGAATTATGCCTGTGGCGTGAAGGTATTGCTGTCTTGTTTACTTTTATAGTTCTTGAGTTTTGAAGTATCAAGTATGAGAACTCCTTTTGAAATTGCCAGTGTGTAATGGATGTTTTTGTGAATTTTGTAGGGCCAAAGGCCTGGAGAATTCGATCTTAGGGGAGTGATTAGAGGCAACGGGATTGTGTGCCATTGTGAAATTTGTAAGGGGGATGAGGTAAGCAAAACAAATATACATTTTATGTTTCTGTATCATCTAAAATCCCATGCCTGAGTAAATTGATTTTTTTTTTATTGCTGAAAGTAGGTTGTCACACCCACTGTGTTTGAGCAGCATGCTGGTACTTCAAACAGAAGCCCGCCGGGATATATATATCTTGAGAATGGGAATACTCTTTGTGATATCATGACTACATGTTTGAATGTTCCTTTAGACACCATGGAGGAAGCTGTCCAAAGGGTCCTTGGAGGGTTCACTATGAAGAAATCTACCTTCTGTTTTAACTGCCAAGGTTTGAAGATTTCCTACCCTTTATTGTTGTGTTTGCATGTGCTTGTTACCGACACACTTTTAGAAATAATTTTCAATTATATTGTCTACTTTTGAAGATGTCAATGTTGTATCAAGACTATTGTGCAATTCATGCTTGGAATTTAAGGACTGTCAACCTAGCCCACTTCAAACAAATGAGTCTAAGAATACCTGTGTTTCACAAGCCGTTCAATCCAGGTACCTTTTGTTTGGTTCGTAATCATAGTTACCATCAGGAAACATTGTGTGAATTTAATATAAACATGTCCTTCACAGACTACTGAACATTAGTTGGATATCGATTTTGAAATGTTAACAATTGAAGGCATCACAATTTCTAATATTAGCAAGGTTATCAAACTAAGATTTGTATCTTGGATCAGAAGACTTATTTTTTGAGTCATAAATCAAATCGAATCATGGATCGTGCGATACCTGACCAATAAAAAAAACAAAATATATTTTCACATAAAGAAACAATTGATATTTAGCATTTTAAAGTCAAATAATTAATTAATAACCAACAAACTATAATAAAAACTGCAAAATAAATCTGCAGTCAAGTCATAATCTAAGGTGTAGCTAGTGTACAACATAATCAAACCTCACAATGATTCTATGTGACATCAATCTCTTTTTTTCTTTGTTTGAACCGTGGATTAACCTGTAGAAATTTGTAACATTCATTTAAAAAAGCCTAGAATGAATAGGAAGGGCAACTTTGTCATTTTCAATTTATCCATTAATTATTTTCCTTTCAAATCATTGTTCGAAATTTTCAAACTGCGCCAAACAAACCTGACCCGAGTGATTCTTAAATGATCCGGAAGGAAATATTCCTTTTAAGAAACCGGGCCCTTTTTTTGCTCATGACCAAGGTGTTTGGCCGTTGTTCAGAATCACAGAATCAAATAAGATTTGTGGTTCATATGATTGCATGACCGTGTCCTATTTTTGTTATGTTTCATGATTTGAATTGCTAGTATTGTATTGTACTGATAACACTCAATATTAGCTTTTGGTATAGCTATAAATTATTAGTAAACAGTATGAAGTCATGCTACAGAGCTTGTTGG